TTTCCCTTTTCCCACTCACCTTTCTCATGATAGAGTGTTGTGTCCCACAGACATAGTTGCTCTACAGAGAGGTGGAGGGGTATGACCCCTACACTCCATCCTGCTCATCAGGCCTTTGTTAAGCCCTCAGGAAGGCTCACAGGGCCTGTGCTCTTTCCTCAACCCTCCAGAATTCAATCCATTCAAACTAGTTCAGAAGAGGTGGGAGGGGTTTTTGTATTCCTCAGTCCAGAGCCCATGTGCTCTTGAACCCTGAGAGTTCAACACATCAGGAAGGGAAGAACCACATGAGTGTGAGAGCCCCAGATGGAGAATATGAGGCATCAGGTCTTGGGCAAGCCCTGCTCCCCTTACCCTGCCTCAGGAGTGCCCAATCAAACTGTCATTTGTCTCCAGGAGAACCAAAGAGACTGGAAAGTCTCCTTTGGTTCCTGGGAGGTCCTTCTCTGTGAAAGCTCATATCTGGCCATTCCTGTGGCCTCTCTTTCCCGTTGGATAAAGAAGGAGAGACTGAGCCCCTCTCACAACAGCTTTCAGTCCTCCTTGGACTTCAGAGGGAGCAAGTTCGTGCCACATGTTCCATGTCAGAGAGGCAAAACTGTCACTCACCCTGGTTTACCCTTTTTTCTTAAAGGCATGAGAACAGAACTGGTTAAGATATCAGTGTGTGTGTGTATGTGATGGGGGAATAGGGAACCTTGGATGTGGCATCACTGTCACTGGGAGCAGAGAGTTGTCTAGCTGTGTTTAACTCCTCCAGAATGCCTTGATGGATCCACTCATTGCCTGATTTTTTCTGTTCCCACAGTGCTCAGAGAACTTCTGCCCTACAAAGGTAAGCATAAGGAAGGGGATCAAGGTGAATACTCAAAGCCTCAGTGAAGCTATAGAAAATGTATCCAAGCCCCTCACAGAACTTTTTGGAGAAGAACACGCTTAGAGGAAGTTTTTTCACTGTGGTGTGCTTTCAAAGGCCCTGACAATGCATTTCAAGAGCCATCTGAGCTGTGGGGAGCAGAGACAGCTGCTTGCACTGACCACAGCACCCACCTTCTCCCACTCCCTGATGCAAGAGGCTGCTGAGTGCACCTGAGTGTGGTGGCAGGGGAAGAACAAATTAGAGATGGATGAGGGCAGGGAAGGGAAAGGCTCAGCAATGGTGTGCTTTCAAAGGCCCTGACAATGCATTTCAAGAGCCATCTGAGCTGTGGGGAGCAGAGACAGCTGCTTGCACTGACCACAGCACCCACCTTCTCCCACTCCCTGATGCAAGAGGCTGCTGAGTGCACCTGAGTGTGGTGGCAGGGGAAGAACAAATTAGAGATGGATGAGGGCAGGGAAGGGAAAGGCTCAGCAAAGCAGAGCTTGTGCTTTCTGCACCTTATGGAATGTCTTGTCCACTGCAGGCAATGTCGGATGCTGACCTGACACAGCTCATCCCAGATTGGAAATCTCTGCAGATGGGAAGAGAGTGAAAGATACTGGTGTCATCAGAGATTTACCCAGCAAGGAGAAGAGATTCGATTCCCACACTTTTGTGTTGGCAAAGGAAGGATACACATCTGGGAAACACTACTGGGAAGTAGTTGTTGGCACAAGGAGAAGTTGGGCCTTGGGTATTGCCCTGGAATCTGTGACCCGCAAGGGGCCATTGACTCTGTCCCCTAAGAATGGCTTCTGGGTCATTGGGTGTGCAGATGGGAGAGAATATTCTGCCTACACAGATCGTTGGACCCGTCTGAGTGTGAGTGGGAAGCTGCAATACATCGGGATCTTCCTAGACATCCCAGCCAAGGAGCTGAGATTTTATGATGTCCATGAGAGAGCAGCTCTGTACACTTTTAATATTGCTCATGTCAAGGTCCAGGAAGGGAAATTCATTCCCTTCTTCTCCACAGGCCCTGCTGCTGCAGAGCCTGACACTGAGCATCTGGTAATAGCATAGTTTTGTGATGATGATGAATAGTTCACTCTGCATTTCAAAGGCAAATAATGTAGAACCAGCAATCAAATCACACTGTAATCACACTGCTCCCCAATTTGTGCCTCCTGAACAAAGCTAATGAAGGAGAGGACAGACCTGTCAGAATGGCCAACTCTGAAATTTTACATTATTTATCTGAATTATTTTTTTTGAGGGAAATTTAATGTGCTCCAGACAAAGAAATTTTCTCTCCTGTTTATATGAAAAACCCACTATTCCCGTGGATTGTGAGCACTCCTGAAATATTACTCTCATTTTCCTGTCAGTCTGTGATTGTCATTTAGTTGAGAATGGACAGTGATAGAGAGGCTTTGTGGGCATCTGGCAGGCAGCCGTGTTCCACTCACCACACATGTCCACATGGCTTTTGGATATCTCAAAAGGGCTTGGTCACCCTCAAAGTATTAAACTATTTCCTGATGTTCCAAGGGAACCTCCTGTGTTTCAGTTTTTAGTCATTGTCTTGTGTCCTGGCACTGGCATCACTGGAAAGATACTCCTTCAGGTATTGCTATACATTGCTGAGATCGCCCAAGCCTTCCCCTCTCCAGGCTGAACAGTCCCTGCTCTCTCTACTGTGCTGGTTTCAGCCGAGATGGAGTTAATTTTTCTTTTCCTTCTCAGTAGCTCATGCAGTAGGGTGTTTGGATTCAGAGTGAGAATACTGTTCATAGCACACTGATGTTTTAATTTCTGCTAAGTTGTGTTTATCTTGAATCAAGGACATTTTATTTCTTGTGTCTCATACTCTGCCAGTAAGAAGGTACACAAGAGAAACTGGGAGGGAGCATAGCTGGGACAGGTGACCTGAACTAACCAAAGGGATATTCCACACCATAGAATGTCATGCCCAGTGTATAAGCAAGAAGGGGAGCTGACTAGGGAGGAGGAACAGGTTTGGGTCGGTCCGCAGGTGGTGAGCAAACGTATTGTGCATCACCGATTTTGCCTTGTTGCTTTTTTCCCCCTTTCACTTTATTTCTATCATCCATTAGCATTTTAACTCATTCTGCTCTTTAATTAATTTATTATTAAACTGTTCTTAACCTACATATTTTATTTTCTCCTCCTCATTCCTTCAGGCTAGGGGGGAAGGATGGAGGAGGGAGTGTGAGTGGATGTGTGATTCTTGGCTGTTGGCTGGGGTTGAACCACGACATGAACCTTTCTTCATGGGAGAAATTTTCCTATCCCTTAATCATCTGTGTGGCCCTCCCTGGACTCTCTCCAGTATGTCTATGTCTCTTTTGCGCTGGGGAGCCCAGAACAGCAGTGTGCTGATGAGAAGGCAAAGATGACCTGTCTCATCTTGTTGCCTCACTCCTCCTAATACTGCCTGGGACACCAATATCCCTTTGTGGTAAGAGCATATTCCTCAGCTTGGTGCGCACAACAACCCTTAGGTCCTTTTCTGCACAGATGTTTTGCAGCTGAGTGTCCTTCAGCACGTCCTGGTGTCTGGGCTTGTTCCTTTCCAGGTACAGGATTTTGCAGTTCTTGTTGAACTTGCAAAGGGTCCTGCCTTCCCATTTTTCTCCAGCGTGTTCAGGACCATCCGGATGGCAGCAGGACTCCCTGGCATATGAGCCACACCTCCCAGTCTAGGATCACCATCCCACATGTTGAGAGTATACTCCACCCCATATCTGAGACCACAAATGAAGATATTAAAAAAGACCAGAGAAAGTATTGACTCCTGGGCTACACAGTTGGTTCCTAACCCCTATCTGGGGCTGTCAGGTTGGTCAGGCATGACATCTCCTTGACTATAATTTGCATATCTCCTTGCTGAAAATTTGTGATGAATTTCTTGTCCTTCCTGTGCCTGGGAGGCTTTCCAGGATCAACTGCCTTCCCAAAGGTTTCCTGCTCAAGGAGAGGGTGAGAGGAGGGAGTGGTGCAGAGCTGCCAATTCACTGTTTTGCTGAGAAAAATGAGGGAATGAGGCCAAGACTTGTCTGACACTGCTGCACTGTGAGTACTGAATAGTCATTGCTCAGAAATGGAATGGCACATAGTGATGCAGGGGAGAGTGTGATGGTGAGAAGGGACCTGAAGCACCTGATGAGAGTGTGAAAAGCCTCTGGGTGTTTTCACAGCGGGAGGGTGATAGGGTGTCGTGATGGAGAGATGGGACGCAGCTCGATGCAAGCAAGATGTCGTCCTATTGTAGTTATCCACAGGTAATTGTAGTTTTCTTGGCTTTGCGTGTTCTCTGCCCATTGGCTTATTCTATACATTAGGTGTGCACCAATTGGTTAACCTAAAACACAACAATCAGTTACATGTCTTCTTCCCCAGCAACATCCTAACTCGTGACTGGTGAGCCAGCACGCAGGTGTTTTCTGTTTGTCCCCTCCGGACTAGGACAAAGATTTCATAGATCTGCCCTTTGAAGCAGAGCTCTCACTGCAGTCCAGATATTTGGTTTTGGTTGGTTTTAGGATTTATTTGGGTTAAATCAAGGTGAATGAGTGCTGCATGACGAAAGTGCAGAGTAGATGGGAACAGACTGATGGACACCGCAGCTCTCCTGGCTGTACTCTAAGCCACAGAGAGATGAGCCCTTTACCTCTTGTCTTTTCTCAAGACTCTTCACATTTTCAGTCATCAAAATAAGCATTTTTACCCCTAAAAGGAAGACTCCCAAGATGTGACTGTTGAAAATAGTAAACACAGACAAAAGTATTCTGAGGACACTCTAAGCCTGTCTTCTGCAACCCATACTCTTCTGAGTATGCCTCCCTCATCTGACAGTGGTCTCCCTGCTAGTCAGCACTGCCATATTTGTCTACCTGAAGCCTCCACCCATCTCCTCCCCATCCCTGGATCTTGCACTGTCAGTGGTGCCTCTGACACTGAACCCCTTCATCTACAGCCTGAGGAACCTGGAGCTCCAGGATGCCCTGTGCAAACTGATGTCTCGATGTTTTTTGCAAGCAAGTTCTGTGACATAGCATTCAGAATGGAACTCGTTAGGGACCCTGTCTGCCTTCTCCGGTATTTTTGCAGGTGGTTTGAGTGAAAGTTCTTTCTTTTTTTTGTGACAATATTGAGCATAATGAAATGATATTATTCATTCCACTTGTACTTCACTCTCTACCTCTACAGGTTGACCACAGATTTATTCAATGAGCAATTGTGCTGTGTATTTAAACAAAATCAAGTTTCCTGCAACTTGTTTGTTCAAAATCCTTCCTTTAATACCTCTTGTGAAGCTACAGAGCAGTGTCTGTATTCGGGGGGTGGTCGGGGGTCGGGGAAGTAGTCCCAGCACAGCAGCACTGCCAGGGAGCACCAGCACTTGTTCTTTTCAGAGGTTCTCTTTCCACACCTACACTCCGTCTGATCCCTTGCATCGGTACAAGTTCTGAGTGCTCTGGCTGCTCGGTGCCAATCCTGTGGGGTGGAAGTCCTGTGTGAATAGACAGGGTGAAGCAGTGAGCCCTACTGTGAGAGAGCTGGTCTTCATGACAGTGTTTCCATCATACAAAGGGATCTCCTCATGGAGGTGCCTAAAGGCCTAGGTCTTCTTTCAAATTTGATCTGAAGAACAAGCCCAAAGAATAGATTCTAAAGAGTTGTTTTGCTTGTTTCTCCATAGTCAGAGCAGGAAGATCATGGTGCCACTGTGGTGTTTTAGGGAGCGAGTGGTGATTCAGATGTTGCATGTTGGAGGTCAGTGCCCACACAGATGTGAATCGTCTCTAAGACAAGTTCCTGGGACTTGGTGAATATTTTTCTGGAGGAAATTAATAACTGCTGGAAGAGTACTGATCTGCAGGGACAGCCCATCCCATAAAGTCAGCAGCATGCTGCAGCCAGGGTTAGGTCCCTGGGCATGGGCCAGCTGGCTATGGTACCCCTTGTAGGCCCCTTGGACAGCAGAGCAGCAAGGCCTTGTGGTGGTGAGTATGAGGTCCAGCAGAGCCCTACTCCCCACTGGCTCCTCTATCATTTAGAGGAGAAAATTATCAGCAATACACTCCAGGAACCTACTGGATTGCTTCTTTCCTGCTGTGATGTTCCTTCAGCAGCTATTGGGTCTGTTTAAGTCTCCCACAAGGACCAGGGCCTGTGAATGTGAAGCTACTCCTGTCTCTCTGTAAAGGCCTCATCCCCTTGTTATTCCTAGTCAGACAGCCTGGAGTAGACTTCCAGTGCAATGTCACATGGAGCTCTACTCTCTTTAATCCTAACCCAAGAGCTCTCTCTTGGTTCCTCACCACTTCTCAGGGGAGATCCATGGACTCCAGCTGCTCTCTCACATAATGGGCAACTCCCCCTCCTCGTCTTCCCAGCCTGTCCTTCCTAAAACCACCTGTGTCTCCACTGCAACACTCCACTCATGACAGCCATTGCACCGTGTCTCCCTGATCCCAAAAGATCACAGCCCTGAAACCCATGCAGATGTGTTTATTCCCCACAAGGGCTGCATTAGTGGACAGAAACTTCCCAGAAGCACCTCAGCACACTTATAGTCCAGAAAGAGCTTGGGGATTTCTCCACAATGGAGCATTGTCAGTACTTCCTTGTGAAAATGCCAGTGCTGGAAGTGACCCTGCTTGAGCCTCCTTTGGTTGTGTTTCACTTCCCTCACATCACCCCATGGCCTTTGCTCGTCAGCCTTGTCTGTCACTCCCTCCCAAAACTGCCTGTGAGTCTTTCTTTCCCTCATCATTCCCAATTTAAAGCCCCCTTTAGGGGTTCAGCCATCCCCTTGGAAGAAGTAGCTTTGCCCTCCTTGGTGAGGTGGGTCCCATCCCTGCCCGAGGATTCTGATTTGCAAACAGTGTCCACTGTTCTTGGAGACCCCAAAATTCTGTGCCACAGATACTTTTCGGTATCATTCCCAGCTGTGCCACAGGCATCAAAGCAGATGTCTCTGGTTCCCCAAAACAACTCTAGAGTGGTTCTGTCCATGCAGGATGAGTCCCCTGCACACAGAACCCTCATTCTTG